GTTCAGAAATATAGATTTTAAAATATTGATTATTAACAATTATTGTAGTGTTTTGCCTCAGATATTAGTTGGATAGGTGACTAATTTGTTATAACCATTATTAAGGTGCTTCCTGACCACTGTGAGCGTCCCTGCTGGTGCCTCATATATGGATACTTAAAATAACTGGTGATTGTTATTATAAGTATTCTGTGGCTAATGGACATTTGCATTCCTTTTTCCCTTCCTGTTTCTGTTGCTCAGCTGGTAGAGGACCCTACTAAGTTACCATTATTTAGATTATGGATTTGATTCTTAGGAAACAGGTCCTGATGAAATATATCAACTAAAATCCACCGTACAAAAAAGGTGAAGTGAAAGTGACGTGTAGCCAAGTTTGGTGTCCCATACTCGGAATTTGTGCTCTCCTATTTTTGCTGCATGGGGATCAATTGGGGACTCGGTGCCTTGCTCAATGGCCGCTCAGGTGTGGTTAATTATGATGGAAGTGAGCACTGGTCATTCAGTCCCACCTACATTTCTTGCCGGTACAACCTTCAGGTTGCAAGTCTGACTCTCTAACCATTAGGCCACAACTGTGAGGAGATGGGTTTCTTCAGTTGAGTATTGGTTCCAATGTGTCGTCTTCTTCCTAACAAACACTATTCTCTGCAAAGCTGCTTGGGGACAATATGCATTGTGAAAAGTGCTAATCGCCTTTGGTTGGCTTAATTGGGGACACAATTTCTGGCAATATTGTTGGTTTTTGATTGCACAGATACTATTTGAACTGAACTGAGCCGGACGATGACATAACTGAATCAATTATGAATTGACTTTAACTGGAAAATTGAGTGTTTACTATCATCCTCTTGCATTATGGACACTATTTTCCTGTTTAATACTGTAATGCTGCTTTGAGGCAATCTGTATTGTATAAAGCGCTATATAAATAAAGGTGACTTGTCTTGACTAACGTTATACAACATGTTATAATTAGGTTCCTTACGCTAATGTGAACCTTTCCAAATGAATTGGTAAAAAAAAAAAAACTGAAGCATGTAAACTATTTCGGTAAAAGAAGAAACTCATTTCAATTTCTCAATGTGACAAGCTCACAAAAAAAATGGCGCACACGTTTTGCAAGTTTTTTTCTCAACGAACATGTTTTCTCCTTCCAATCTAATATTGCAATATTGACATAAGCACAGAAACTTCAAATCAGGTTTTTGACATCATCTTGATCATCATTATGTTCATCATCATTAACTTTATGCATATATAAATGAACATTATGTTATGGATGAGGAGGCACTACACCAGCAAGGAGGTCGATTAACATCTACTAACTATGAACACACACACGTCCTCTACACTGCAAGAGAAACGTTCACAACATAAACCTTCATCCCTTCGTTTGCATAAAGTACAAATCAACATTAAAAATAGCATTTACATTACACGGCTCTTTACTGTCTCAATTTAGGTGTTTGTTTCTACTCAACACAGTTGTACAGTTACAGTAAGAATATAATCTTAATAAATTACATCATCATATACAAATATGACGGCATGGACCCACACGCATTTATACAGGTATGGTACATAATGATATCATTGCAGTCAAAATCAAATGAATACAATATGGTACCTATAGAGCATTACAGTGTTATTTTCTCAAAGCGTTGATCTTTTGTTACCCAACATTTACAATTATAACACTACATTTTTTTTATTTTCTATACATAAACACAACTCATACACACTGAATATAATAAAGAGGATACTCCCCGATACAACCCTGACACGTGTACCCTTCCGTACTTCTTTTTGTGTACATGTTGCAGAAAATTTTAACAATGCAAGTTCATTTTTTCCTAGACTGCACAGTTTTAGACAAATCACAAAGCTGCTGGGGGGGTCTTTCCTCTTAATGTATCATTTATGTCACATCCTGTTTCATTATTGTTCTCAGTCCCACACTGAAACTCCATGAATGATGCACAACTCCACATATTTATATGCTTTCAGTAATGCAATCTGAAAAAACACTGCTTGCATTATCAAAATCGTGGCTTACCCTCGTACAGAGTTCAGCTGTGAGAGGAATCCCAGACAGCAGACAGTTTCGGCCCAGATCCGGCCCACATCTGGCCCGCATGGATCTCACATGGGCCAGATGTGGGCCGGATCTGGGCCAACACTATGTTGCTGTCTGGGATACAATTCAAATGGTCCCAAAAAGTATTTGGACACTTGAGTCCCACTTAAATCTATATAAATTGCATAGACAATAAAAATGTCACAATCCTGCATACGATTTCAGCCATTTATCATTTCAAACCTAAAACTGCTTTATGTGATTTTTTTTTTTTTTTAAGTGTGCTTGTGCTATATTTCTGTCAAATACATTAAGTGGTGTGCTATTTTGTAATCCAATGCAATGCAATGAGTGGTTTAGAGGAATAGTTCAATTAAAATATGAAAATTGTCATTATTTACTCACCCTCAAGTTGTTCCAAATCGGTATGAATTTTTCTTCTGTAGACTGACAGTAACCATTGAATTTCATGGAAGTCAATAACTACTAGCAACTGTTTGGTTACCAACATTCTTTAAAATATCTTCTTTTGCATTCAACAGAAGAAAGAAACTCGTGTAGGTTTGGAACAACTTGAGAGAGAGCAAATGATGATAGATTTTTCACTTTTGGGTGAACTATCACTTTAAGTGTCCAAATACTTTTTGGCCCACTGTACTGTATATTGCCTGCAAATCATAGTTTGACAGCAAGTTTCAACTTTTATTTTAGTTAGCATTTCAGAATTGAAAAGATTTTATTACGTGTTTTAAACAATAGTCTGGATGCAAAATCAGAGCGTGTTAGTTAACAGGCCATGAAACAACAGGGAATCATTTTGATACCACTAACTTCTGAACTTGTGATGCATGCGGCGTTTCAGGTGTGAAATTCACTCACGGATTTTGTCTGGTCAATCTGCTGTGCATAAGTAGCCCAAATCATGCACAGGAAACATTCGTGTCCATCTGAAGAACCTTGATTTGGTATGACCATGAAGGGATGCCAAATAGAGACGATGCTTGTACAAGACCTTCTTGGAGAAACTAAGAACAACACATGACTTTGACAAACACTGTGCAATGATCAGCCAGTGTGACAACTGTGGCTATGTTCAGAACATCATGCTTACATACTATGCAGTATTTAGTATTCATACTGGGTACAGTGCATGGAATAGCCAGATGATTTTGTTTATTTACAACATAGTGTAGATCCCATGATGTCAAGTGTGACGAATAAAAATAATTCTTGTTTAAAAAATCAATTTTGGCGTCATCCAATAATGAGACATTTTTACACAATATTCAATTAAATTTCAAGACAATTTTATCGTGTGTTGATACCTGAATGCCACTTACATGCAATAATAGATCTTAGTCAGGTTAGAAGCCATGTTGAATTTAACACGGATGAAAACGCGGCTGTGAGGGAGAGATTTACAGTCTTTACGCTTTATATGAACGCACTGTTGAACCTCTGAAAACTTTTAAGGCTTATCCTGTGGCGTTTATATAAGCCTTTTGACAAGGGTGACCATATTTTAGTTTTCAAAAAAGAGGACAGTGGGGGCAGGATGCAGAAGGGGGGGGGGTTGTTGTGTTTGAGGGGTGTTAAAGTAGCCCCCAAAGTAGCGCAATGACCATATCCCGTGTCAAAACTCAAAATATGTCATTTCCATAACTAAAATACATAGGGCCTATTTTACAGTCACCGTTTTGCAGATTGATTTTAAACACAGCTAAAAGGCTTCCTATCATCGTTCACAAAACTTAACATCTACCACAGTTTTATCATAGGTTGAACGCAAAATGTTTCAATACAAGCATTTTAGTCAAATGTAATTTATGCAATATTTCAAACCTTCAAGTCACGGGAGAAAATCAAGCCGCCGCAACAGTTTAAAATCAGCCCATTTCCGTGGAATAAAATGTTGATTTGGCAACCCTGCATCCAACACGAGCTGCATCCAAAGCGATTTAAATACTCCGCATATTGATAGCGGCTCCCTGATGCGCGAAAATTATTCAATTCAATTCAAGATTATTTGTATAGCACTTTTCACGATACAAATCGTTGCAAAGCAGCTTTACAGGAAATTAAGTTTCTACAATATATTTAGTAGTATATTCTTATATGAATTATATTCAACATTTGAATGTTTGCGGGAGCAGGCGGCGATGGTCAGAAATTGGGAGCGGGTTTAAGAAAACAGTCCCATGCAGGGCTTTAATACAAAAATGCACACAATGAATGGCGACTGTAGAAAGCAAAAGCCGAATCCCGGACATTTTGGGCGATTTAGAAATCCCGACTGGACGCATTTTTTTGGGGGGGTCCAAAAAAGAGGACATGTCCGGGGAAAAGAGGACGTATGGTCACCCTACCTTTGACGGGTTGTGTCACGGAGCTGTAAAAACGGTTACACTCAATGAATCGCGTTTCTGCCGAACTCTTATTACAAAGCCAAAACAACACTCTCCTTCGATCCATGAACGTTTCTCCCATTTTAAGGGATAGTTCACCCAAAAATGAAAATTTAACTGTCCTGAGCGCGTCCTCGACAGCCGGTGCGTGACGTGTCTTCTTCTTCTTCTTGCTTTACGGCGGATCGCAGATTTATAAGTGCATTACCGCCACCTATCTCTCAAATGGACCATTGACACTCTATCTACAATCTCAATTAGGAGTGTCAATGGTCCATTTGCCGGCTGTCGAGGACGTGCTCAGGACAGTTCAGACAGTTCAGACATTGCAGTGCATCAGAGATAAACATCAAATTTTCATTTTTGGGTGAACTATCCCTTTAATGCGCGCAATGTCATCTCACAGTCTGAAGCGTCTGTCATAGCAAATCAACACATGCTGTTGTAAATAATTAAGTGAAGCATCTTCTCATAGGATAAGAACACGCAGTCTCATGAATAATTTAATAGACACATCATAGATGTACTATAGTCCTTTACCACGTCACAAATTGTGACGTGAACACGATGTAGATTTTAAACCCGGAAGATGAAAATAGCGCAAAAAAGCTTAAAATTAACAAGTTTTCTCCAACACTTAAAATGATCGGATGCTAACATTGTCTTCTATCATGTGCAACACAAACACCTCTGCTAAAATCTCAGAAAAGTAGTCTGGGGTTTCATGACCCTTTAAACAGCAGTACAATCCACTGAACACACTGCACTTCAGTCCCTCATATTTTCGATTTTATTCCTGTCAAAAATTAAATATGGCACCACCCTGACTAAGGTCTACTGCATACTGCATACATGCATACTGTTTCACATACTATCTTTAAAAATAGTATGCACTATCAATACTACGGTTAAAGTAGTATTTTGTTCTGAACATAGAGATTTTCCACCGCTTCCTGGTGTGAGGTTGACATGAGTCTGCTGCCCTCTGTGGTCACTGTGGGAATTGCATACGGTACAGATGGCCTGAGGAATCAAGGGCTACATGCTCCATAGCACATGCTGCTATGCATACAGACACAGACATCAAGAGAACGATACCTAAAATAATAATCAGCGCAACGAGGCATGGACTGATGGTGAGAAAGAGGAAAGCCCAATAGCCCGTTGTGAGTCATATTCTGTTTAACACGTGACACTGGACGAGTAGTACACCATAATTGCACATTGACTCTGTTAGATGAACTTTGTACTAAAATACAGCAGAGTGGCCACGTAAATATCTGTTAAGTTGGATTTTATGCTAATGCCTGTAATATAATTTCAAATAACATGTAATCTGCACCAGTAATGTGTAGCCTGCACTTGCATAACTGATGGGTCATTTATTTCTTCATATCTGCTTGTTTGTATGCATGTATATGCTTTTTAAATATTTGCAAATAGATATTAGTAGTGAGCAAGCTCTTCCCCGCCTCCCAGATAAGATCTATATATACAGTGTGGCTATCTTTACTAAGATTTTTTTGATTTTTTAAAACAAGACTGCATTGCACATCTTCAGGGAAAGTCGTTCATGTTAAGTCTCTGGCATTTTTGCAACGTCGTTACATCGGACAATCAGAGCTGCCTCCAAAGGTGTGTTGTCCTCCAGTCAGGTGATCAGATTTCCTCAACGTAATTGGCCGGGGATAAGCCTGTCTGGCCGCTGTCCAGACGGCCTCTGCACCAGCCCTGGTCATCTTCCTCTTCGATCTTTGTTAATTCATCCCCTGTGAGTGATGCAGATTATAACTGACATATCTGCCATACGTAAAGTCAAAAAAATCATGTGGTATATGGAGGACACTCAGTATAAAGACTTCAGCAAAAACTATTCATATTGATGATGCCAGCTGTTGTGGTGACCTAACATCATTTATTTAGCTGTGCACTCTACCTGCTTTGAAGCTTAGCTCATCCTGCTCTTGCCCTTCATAGTCGTAGAGCGCTCGCACTCGCACTCCTCCTCTGCTGACCGCGTCGTCCTCGAAAGAGTTCGCACCGCCATTCGTCTCGTTCCCCGAGTACCCGGTGGGCTGCTCGTCATCGGACCATTCTGTGGAGTACGCCTGGTTCTTTTCATAGCTGCTCACACTAGTCAAAGACAGGGGACACATGCTGTTAACACGGAAGAACAGCAAACGATTACACCTTAGTTTGTGCGCTTGTAAAGCTTCAGATTAGAACCAGTTTTACAGCCAGATGCCAACAGAACCTTTTAAACTCTTGCTATTCAGAAAACCACCTGCAGTATGTGCATCATATTTCAGTCAGTCAGTCAATCAATCAATCAATCAATCAATCAATCACCAAGCAGTCAATAATGCATGCTCTGGGGCCGAATGATATTGAGTAGTCACAATATACATTCATGATGATTTCACTGGAGATGTAAAATTAAGCAATACTTTGAACACTACAGTCATTTTTAGGTGCTTCTTAGTTTGTCCATTAAGTCTTTTCGGATTAAGAGTCCAGTGTAACCCCTGCCAATGTTAAAAAATATTAATTAATTGACTGACTGTTATTTAATTACCACAGGGTGTGCATAAAATATGTGCCAAAATTACAATTAGAAAACGGAGAGTTCCGGTCCTTGATTCTGATTGGCTGAGCCACGTTCGAAGCTATTGTAACTTACACTACAAACATACACCTTTGTTTACTTCTGTGTGTTGCTCGGCAACCGCTTTGTTGGAACCAAAACCATTTCTGGGGAACTACATTGTTTGGTGGAAGAATACTGTTTTTATTAATATCATTACACTTTATTTATGTTTTATTCTGTGAAACCTTACTACATATATGGAATAACCGTTTTATAAAAGCAATAAGCCCCGTGAAGCCGTGGTTTACAGTGAATTTATAACAGCTAAGGGGGTTTTAGGCACTCCGCTTCGCGTCTAACAACGCCCCTTAACTGTTATAAATCCACTGTAAACCACGGCTTCCTGGGGCTTATTGCTTTAATAAAATTAAATGGTTTTATTTTAATTGACATGTTTTTTAATGCATCCGCCCAGTCAAATTAAAAGTCCTGGAAATGTTGGAATTGATTCCCCTGTTTGAAGGAAAAAAAGACTTTTAAGCCATTGCAGTACCATTACAGAAGTAGTGAGATTGTCTGCGCCGATAGCATCGTGGCAGTGTGCTGACATGTAGCGCCGTTGCGCTTCAGGTGTCCCGAGTTCGAGTCCCGACTCGTGAACCTTTCCCGAACTCTCTCCTAATTAGCTTCTTGTTAATTACAGTTTTTTTACGATCGCTATGACAGTTTTTTCAAATACTTTTAACAATTTTCCTAAACTTTTAACACAATTAGTGCAACATCCATCTGTGTAGGCTATACAATTAACAAATTTATTGTTGCTTTGACACAAAATGTATTCAGTTAACACAAATTTAAAATGCTTGAACTTCTCTTAGACACAAGCTCAACCAAGACCAAAACAATGGATTTGTACTGCCAAATTTACAAATGCTGGACTAAATGTTCCTGTTGGAAGAGAACACGTGTTAGTGTTTTGGAATAATTATTTGATTTTGAGACATTGTTTTGGTAGTGTATTGTGTTAATGTATTATTGTATTTTGAAAATTAGTGTTGGAGTTTTGTTTACAATGTGTGATTTTGAGCATGAAACTAACTGTTTTGCCAATTGTGTGTTGTAGGTGTGTTGGTGCATTAAGAGTTTAGGAAAGTTGTTAAAAGTATTGAAGAAATCGTCATAGCAATCGTAAAAAAACTGTAATTTTCCTATCCAAATAAAGGCAAAAAACACAAAAAAATAAATCTTAAAAAATAAATAAATAAATAAAAAACATAGTACCGAGTACTTATCAAAGTACTGATATTGATTATTGTGCAACAACTGAAAATCCTGAGATATATATTTTATAACACTCAGTCCCAAGGACATCTACATCTTTCTATTCTTTAAAGAACCATATAGTCAACTCAAGAACCCTGTACAGGTAGAAATAACTCTTGATAAGAGGAGAGTTCTCTATTGGACTTCAAAAAAAAATTTGGTTACACTTTATTTCGATAGTCCACTTTAGACATTCTATTAACTATAAGTAACTTTGTAACTACATGTCAACTACATGTCAACTAATTCTCATTCATTTGCAACTACATGTCTACTAACTCTCAGAGTAGACAGGGTAGGTTTAGGGTTAGTAGAATGTTGACAAAGAAAGTGTTAGAAGATATTAAGCAGACAGTCTACTAATACTCTACTAACTGTAGTTGACATGTAGTTGCAAAGTTACTTACTGTTAATGAATGTCTAAAGTGGACTATCGAAATAAAGTGTTACCAAAAATTTTTTTAAAGAGTGAAGAAGACAGCAATCAACCTCTAAAAAGAGAAATGCGTAGTGCGCTGCAGATCAAAGAAAGGACACTGGGAGCGAATGGGGAAGGCAGAGATGATGTCTGACCTGCCGCGGTCTCCTGCTTGACCTGCATGCTCTGTGCTCGGAGTAGCAGGAGCGACTCCATCTGGCTTCTTCTTTTCTCTCTTGGCAACAGCATTGGTGGCTTCTGGATTATATTCCTGAGAAGAACAGATTCAGAAATATATAGCTTGGATTACAGCTTGGGGGGGGGAAGAAAATTAATTTAAAACTGTTTTAAACTAGGTTTAAGAAAAACAACTTCTAGAGGGAAGGGGAATTTATACAATTAACCCTTTGACTTAACTGGGATTTGAAAGCTTGTGACAACTAGCCCTGGGCTCCCTAACCTTTTTAACAAACCCAGAAACCTGAAAAGGGCACAAGACTGTTAAGACCTGTTAAATGTTTATTTGTTCATTAAAAGCTGTGTACCTCCAACTGGGGCCAGTTCATATGCATGCCAGGACCGTGATTATTACTGAACCACTTGAGATCCTCTTGTGTGTTGGCAGCCAGAATGGTGCGTTCAAACTCACGGTACACTGACGCATAGCTAGAACATGGAAAAACACAGACTCAGCTGTAAGCTCTGACAAATACAGCTGAACTAGACCAAAAGTGCTTTCACTCCAGTGAACTGTTAATCACCTTTTGATCATGACTCAAAAATCAATCAATTAATTGAAGACTCAAAAGAATGATATGTTCATGTCCTATGCATATCTCAAGCACACACTAACATCTGTGTGAATCAGCGCAGACACACAGGTTCTGGGGTTTAGACTGACTTTTGGTTCTCGGTGAGGTTTAGGTGTCGTTTGATGTCCAGGAGAACCTCTTTGAGGAAGGTCAGTCGTTTGACCTCGTGCTGCTGGCATTGGTCAAACACCTGCTCCATGCACTCCATGTACTGCGGTGTGCACTTCGACAACTCATCCAGAGACTTCTCGTACTTCTCCTTCGCCTGCAGCACAAACACACACATATAACCCATATATGTGATGTGACCCTGGACCACAAAACCAGTCTTAAGTGATCATTTTTTTAAAATTGAGATGTATACATCATCTGACAGCTGAATAAATAAGCGCTCCATTGATGTGTGGTTTGTTATGATAGGATAATATCTGGCCGAGATACAACTATTTGAAAATCTGGAATCTGAGGGTGCAACAAAATCAAAATATTGAGAAAATCCCCTTTAAAGTTGTCCAAATGAAGTTCTTAGCAATGCATATTACTAATCAAAAATGAAGTTTTGATATATTTACGGTAGGAGATTTACAAAATATCTTCATGGAACATGATCTTTACTTAATATCCTAATGATTTTTGGCATAAAGGAAAATTTGATAATTTTGACCCATACAATGCATTTTTGGTTGTTGCTACAAATATACCCCAGCGACTTAAGACTCCAGCTTTTACACAAACTGCTTTTGTGCTCCAGGGTCACATATATTACATATAGAAAAACTACAAAGCTAAGTTGCACGAACGTAGCTCTGAATATGCCATTTCTGTGCTTACAAGCCTCATCAAAATCTATTTTTAAAAAGTCTTCATGTATCAACACATTAATAATTCAAGACCATTATATTTCCGACTTTCATCCTCCAGGACTGTAATGTAATAATTCAACAGAGTAATGTGTTCAATAGAGGGAGAGAGGGATTGTTATATCTTTAAATGTAATAACACTTCACATAAAAGTCCTCGCTCGTTTTAATGGCTCATAGTTGTAAGAGCGATATAAGATACTAAGACAAAATTCGAATTCACATTCGATGACCATAACACCACAACACCATATTTTTTCTTCATTTCTCGCACCTTCTGCACGTCCTGTTTGCATTTCTCTGTCTTCTCGTGGAGTTTCTTCTGCTGGTCAGGAGTGGCAGATGCATCTGCCTCACGGGCTGCAGCCAGTTTCTCCTCTTTACATGCCATGTGATAGTTCTTCTTCGCCGTCTCCATCTGTAGCCAGAAATGCCACACTTTAAACTAAACGCCATACTACAACTGAATGGATGGAGCTTAGAGAATGGTTCGGTAAACTGACTGAAATTGTGAGAAAAGTTGAGGACAGTACAATGCTCTTCCAGGCTTTAAATGCAAAAATGATGTATAAATGTATCATAAAAGTAGACCATCTGAATCTATGCGCTATATACCAAATCTTCTAAAAACAACACATAACAGTTTTGTGTGAGGAACATCTAGCCTATAGCTCTCCATTACATGTTTATGTTCAAGTTGTAATGTTTGAGAGAAAAAAAAAAAGTTATTTTGAGTTTAATCTTTTCAATTAATCAGTTGATCCAGTTCACAACACTGGTCTGGATGATTTGTTCACAAATAATCTAAATGTCATAACTAGATTCAATAATCCAATTGCAGCAGTTAACAGCTCGATGAGGAGGAAGATGACCAGTGAATTATTACATTTGAAATCTGGGTTAGTGAATAATGAAATTTGAGTCTTTCTCATACACATCTATCACATATGACTTCAGAAGACATGGAATATAGTGAATATGGTATCGTGCTGATTTGTGCTTTTTCTTTTAAGTTTTTTCTTTCGAGTTTTATTAGCTCTCCTTTTTTTCCACAGAAGAGAGAATGTCATATGGGGTTGGAAAGAGTGAGTAAATAATGAAAGATCATGTTTGAGTACTATTGCTATAAACATCTTGTAAGCATAACACATCAGCTGTATTTCAGAATGCATGCATATTTAACATGCATTTAAATTATTTATATGCATAATGTATATGCATATTAATGAAATAATGCCATTAAGGTATGTTAATAAAGCAATAAGCCCCAAGAAGCCGTGGTTTACAGTGAATTTATAACAGCTAAGAGGGTTTTAGGTATACAAACCAGACAAACGCACAGAAGATACCGAGACGACTGCTTTATTGGCACGATTTATGCCTTTTTTCCCATAACAGTTCTGGAAATGTAAAATAGCTGCTTCAAAAATCTTGAGAGGATGAAGAAAGAAGCTGTAGATTTCTCTGACTGACCTTTCTCAATCAGTTGCCTCCACCTTTTGGACCATTCGGTGAGCTGCTGGCTGTAGGACTTCTCGATCTTGGCCCGTTCCTGAAGGCAGTTCATAAGATCATTGCAGAGTCGATGGCCGTCGTCAATTCTCTTGACAGCACGCTTATAATTTCCCACCTAAGCGAAGTGGAAGAAATCACATCACACAACACATCATATTACATATAACTTGATATGCAATTCTGCTCAAAGGTTTACATAACCCATGTAGAATCTGCAAGATGATACTCTGAAAATTGCATTTAGTACTACTGTGTTGAAGCTATTTGACAGAACAGATACGTACATACACTCACTTGATGATAACTACAGTAAACAGTAGCCTGTGAAATATTATTACAACTTAACATAACAGTTTTCTATGTTTTCAAATGTAATTTATTGCTGTGATCAAAGCTGAATTTTCAGCATCATTACTCCAGTCTTCAGTGTCACATGATCTTTCAGAAATCATAATAATATGCTGTTTTGCCGCACAAGAAAAATGTAGGCTATTATTATTATCAATGTTGAAGACAGTTGTGTTGCTGAATATTTTTGTGGAAACTGTGATAGATATTTTCAGTATTGTTAGAAAGTTCAGAAGAACAGCATTTATTTGAAATAGAAATCTTCTGTAACATTATAAATGTTTTTACTATGACTTTTGATCAGTTTGCCCTTTCTGGAAAAAAAAAAAAACTGACCCCAAACTTGAACAGTAGTATATACATATATTTCACAGGACAAAATAATAACTGAATAATATAATATAATATAATATAATATAATATAATTTGTCTTCAAAATACTTGTGGTTATTCATTTAGGAAGACCCTATAGTGTTCCCTTCTCTCTGGTGCCTGCAGGTGGCATAAGAAAGTGGAGAGGAATGAGTGCGGGTGATAAGAGGGGGAAGGGACTCATTCTTGTGCATGTGAAGTTACGCAATGACTGCCACAGCTTTGTGTCCATGTGCTCCTGGAGCATTACATCAAACCTCTCTTTCAGACAGATGAGACGTGCAAGTATTCAAACTTAGTCTTATTAATTGATACATTAGGTATCATTTGCACCTTTTTACAAAGGTGTGTTTGAACTAAGAATTTGATGTTCCCTTCAGGCTGTAAATCTGCTGAATATGCAAATGGTTCCATAATTTCATATTCTTATTTCTCTTCTCTTTACTGCGTTAAGCTTTTAACCCTTTCCTATACCAACTGTATGTGTGTGTGTGTGTGTGTGTTTATGTGTATGTTAGACCAGTTTAAGTGTGTATTTGTATGTTAGACCAGTTTAAGTGTTTATGTGTATGTTAGACTAGTTTAAGTGTTTATGTAGTTAATAAAGCCTTACTTGTATCACACTTGACGTTGTTCATTGTTTGCTCATAACTGGAGTCACTTAATCATGCAGATTTATGCTACAAGCTCTTTGTAGAATTGTACAGTAAGAAAGTTATTTCCCTTAACCAGGAAATTAACGTTCTTAGAATTGACAGACAGTTGACCCTGAGAGGTCAAGTAAATATCTACAGCGGATCTAAATATTTGTAATTAATTATAACTAGTTATGATTAATTATTCATATTTCCCCATGAGCTGATTCGCTACAGTAGTAAGGCTTTCCTCTGTGTATACATATCCTTATATGTACAATTTTAGCTGTATTATTTATATATATCCCCTTCAAAAATTGCTCTTGAAAAATTTTAAGTTTATTGTCCCCCCCAACTGTTAGACGAAATTTACGCCCCTGATTTCAAATATGAAATTGAATCTTAAGCTTGGTGAACAGTTTTGGAGATTTTGATGTTTCCCCATTCAAAGAGATAGGAGCTGCACTTGCATGCCCGAGAGGCGTTTCAAAGATGGCCGTCCGAGTGACATGACTTGCCTTAAAGGGACTTTGGTGGAGCTAGCAAAACATTGCTGTTTGTTTAAACATTCCGCCCAGCAACAATGGCTCAACCAGTGGGGTGAATTTGGGGGCGGGGCTACATGATTTTCTAACCAATGGTGGAAAGAACTGTTCAGGAAAACTATTTGAAAACCCATCAGTGTTTTGTAATTGTGCATATGGGATGCTAACGGCATACGGAATCACACACAGCGAAATGAGGGTGCGATAAAATCTTAACAAAGCTAGCATTTGTTAACCATTCTGCAGAGATCGAATCTGAAAGACTCCCACAATTTGAAATTCAAGCGTTAAGAACCTGGTTTAAAGTTGGCTCTTTATTCGACTTGCCATAACCTTGAATTTCAACAGTTGGCTATGAGCGTGTGTGTTTGAACACACGCCAGTGACCTTCTCCCATTCACACACACACACACACACACATCCAGGAAAGCTCAGTGAAGCTTTGAGTTTTAAAGAGATGGGTTTAAAGGGATGAAAAACACAATGTGTCATTGCAGCCTCACTGCAGTTATGTCAGCTGGATTTTATAAACAACACCGGTTATTTGAATGCCTTTTAACTGACTGAATATTGTCAAAATGCTGAAAAATATTGACATATATTGCTCAAGGTGCAGGGTTAGCTACAGTTAGCTCAAGTCACGTTAGCTCACTGTGTAATGTAACTGTTAACTTTATTTAATGTTCAACAATTCATTGAACTTGATTGTAAAATTCTGGTCATTAGTACTATTTGTGTACTTTGCCTTTGTTACTCAATCTTAAGATTTTAACTTATTTGTATGAGTGAACATTTTGAGTTTATGAGGCAGAACAATCTTGTAATATCCCCAAACTTCTGTCAGTTATCTTCCTCTTTAGTTTCACTCATTCCTTTTTAAAAGTCAGAATGTTGTTAAATCATCAATCTAACTTAATTATCATCTAAGAAAATAACTTAGTACATTGATGTTTGCCTAAATGGTTTTGTTTTACGCATTAATTCACTGTTACGGCAATTAATGTTCCTTTTGTACTTGAAACATTTTATATATTAATGTATAATAAATCTCTTCCTTCCAGTTCTCTTGTTATAATAAATCACAGTTAAATGTGCTTTCAAAGGATGGGCATTAAGTGTCCTAATATGAATAAGTTGCTTTTTTTAAATAATCTGTATTCAAACTAGATTATTAGCTAATCCATGTCTACTGTAGTAATATAAAGTTATAGCATAAAAACCCGTGTCATAAAAATCATACTATTGTTTTAACTGTACATCACACTATTATTGGCATTGATATAATCCCCCAAAAGTGTGACAATATCTTGCAAGTGACCTTAATTGTGTCAACATTCAGCATCCAAAACACAGCTATGGTACATTTCAACAATGAACATTACATAAAAGACTCCTAATACTGACAACAGAAATGTCAAACCAAGTCAGAAAATAGCAAAGCAACTGCATTATTTATTTCTGCTGCACTCTGGGAGTTAGCATACTTGTGGCTGAATTCTATTTCATTTAATATATCTCTATGATGGCTGCATTAATTTGAACTTCGTCAAATTAAAACATTAATTTGCTTTCATTTGAACAAATGTGTCAAATTAACACACACTGTATTCTGGTTACCTACCTATTAGAGGTCGACCGATAGTGGATTTTACCGATACCGATAGCTAGGTTGGACCACACTGGCCGATACCGATTAATCAACCGACAGTTTTTAAAATGGTAAACGAAAACTAAAACAGAGCTTTACTATTTTTAAAAAAGCAGTAGCAGTACTGAACCATACTTTGTAAATGAATAAACATATTAATATTAATTATTATATTGATCATTAAAGTTATTTCATAGTTTACTAACGTTAAAAAAAGAACCTTTAAAAATGTACAAATAT